AAAATTAAAATCATCGTGGCTTTAATCCCATTGACGGGATGTAATTTTTTTTATTCACGTTATAAGATTCTTTCGAGAAATTTCTTTTTCGTTGCCGGAAAAACGAGGTTTTTTTCCCCATTTCCGGTTTGTTCAAATCAACGAGTTCCGCAAAAAAAAAAAAAAAAAAAAAAAAAAAATTAATTTTTTTCGCTGTCGGAAAAACTCTTAAATAAAAAAAAAAATAATAAAAATAATAAATCTTTTAATTCGAAAACATATGAAAACGAGGGCGGGGAGGGGGGAAATTTCGAGGGTTAGGAAAATTGGAAATTTTTTTCCAAAAATTTTCCATTTTTATAATATAAAAATAATAAAAAATTAAAAACATTTTTTTTTTTTTTTTTTAATGGCCGAACCTAAAAATTATTTTTCCCCCTCGAGAATAACAAAAAAAAAATTTCCCGGAAAAAAAATATTATTATTATCATTATTTTTTATTTTTTATTATTATTAACCTCGGATTATTAGTTTTTGGAATTTCTATTTCCGGTTCCCGTTTATTCCCCGCGTCATTATTTTTTCCATTTTAAATTTAATTTTTTTATCAATTGTAATTATATATAGTCTTAAAATTCATCCGCCATCTTTTTTTTTTTTTCATTTTTAAATGGATCATCCATCATTACAATGAAATTTATCCTCTTTTTTTTTTTCCTTTGGCAATCTAATTTAAATTTCCTTTGTTAAAATCATTCGAACGTAAATTTAACCGGTAAATTTTTTTTTTTTTTTCTACCTTAAATTTTCACTTTCCTTTGACAAAATTCGACATTTTTTTTTTTAAACAAAATAAGTCTTCTCAAAAAAATTTCTTTTGCTGACCGATAAGTTTTTTTCTTTCGTTACCCTGAACCTTCTCCGTGGATGTGCTTGACCCCAATCGGTTATTTACTTTCAAAAGGTCAAAGGAAAAAATTTTAAAAAATACCGTTTGTTACTTTTCTTTATACGGCAACAAAATTTCCGGTTTTTCATATTATAAATATTCAAAATCCATCAGTTCCGGTTTTTACGTTTTTTTTTTCTTTTTTTAAATATGGATGAATTTATGTGACAAAATGCACGACGACAAAAAACTTTTCTTTATTTAAAAATGGCCGTCTAAAGTCTATTAACCCGATTTATTTCAAATAATAATAATAAAATAAATATTAAAAAAAACGACATTAATCAACGGTGTGTGTGTGTGTGTTCGAACAGTGGCAGGAGCAAACTTAACGGGTCACCCGTCCCCCCTCTCCCCCTTCCCATCGATAATCAAATCTACTTCCGGTTTATAGAAAAAAAATAAATTTTAATAATAATAATAATTAGGTGTTTTACACGTGAATATTTAAAAATATTAAATTTTAAAAAAAATTTTCCAGATTTCCTTTGATTATATAAATTAATTGACTTTAATATCGAAGGAAAATTTCGGTCACGACATTTCATTTATGTTTTGTGTTTGTGTTTCTCTCTCTCTCTCTCTCTCTCTCTCTCTTTCCCTCTTTCATCGTGTTACAAAACATTGTTTAAACAAATATTTTAACATATTACGTTATCGATACAAAAGGAAAACGCACGAACGCACGCACGCACGCACACACGCACACATTCTGTGGTATTTTATAAAAAGTGACACACGCACACGCACCTCACGCACCACACGCACATCCACACGTATGTATATATAAGAATATTCGATACAATGAAATAAACACTTAAAATTTCTCCCTAGTGACTCATAAATCAGTAGGTTTCGAATGACGTCATGTAAAAGGGGGTTGATTTTCTTTAATCGTAGGGGATGAAAACAGAAAACATTTAACGGCGTTATATTTATTTATAATACGAAAAAGAAAAGAAAAAGCATTTTTTCTTTACATTTCCCGAAACTGTGTTTAGCTTACGAGAGAAAATGAAATAATTATAATTCGATTGTTGAATTTTCTAGAAAAAAAAGAAAAGTTTTTTTTTTCCTTTTCTTTGTTTTCTCTCTCTTTCTCTCACTCGCATTCATTTCCTTTTGTAAGTAAATTAAGAAGGTGAGGAGGGAAAAAGAAATACGGTAAATTGTTCTAGAATTTTCTCAGACGAATATGTATAAAAACGAAATTTTCTATCTCGAATTTTCTATTTTACCGTTTATTTAAAAACGAATTCGATCGTTTTGAAAATTTTAAAAGGCCTTATTTTTTACTTCACTTTCTCTCTTTCTCTCTTCCTCTCTCTCTCTCTCTCTCTCTCTCTCTCTTTCTTTTTCTCTCTTTTTCTGTCTCTTTTCTTCCGGGGGAATTTTGATTAATCGTTCTTATAAATAATTCGAAATGCGAATTTAGAAATGTGAAATTTTCAACGAATAACTTTTTTTTTTTTTTTTTTTTTATTTTTATTCAGGTCACGAACAGCCTCAGGTATCATTATTATTATTATTATTATCAACTGTTTTACCCTTTTAAACATTTTCTTTTTTTAATGATTCCGATTTGTGACGTAATCAATTAAATAAAATCTTATTAATTAATAACTTTCTCATCCCGGATTTCTCAACCGTTTAATTTAATTTTTTTTTTTTTAACGTCATTATTTAAAAAAAAAAAAGAAAAGAAAAAGAAACCTTAAATGAAATTTTTTTTACCTGAATCATAACGATCCGGTGGTGAATAGCTCTACTATCATCATCATCATCATCACCATCCTCCTCCTCCTCCTCATCATCGTACTCGTCGTCGTCATCATCAACATCTGCTGATGAAATAAAGAAAAGGTTTTGTCAATAAAAAGATTTACCTTTTTTTTTAATTTTTTTTTAAAAAGATTCTTTTCCCCCATGTTTAACTTATAAAGAAAAAATTTTTTTTGTAAATTAAACATGAGAAAAAGGTACAGAGAGTATCGCGACGATTCGTAGAAATTTTCAAAACGACGTTTCGTAGTCGTTAACGTATCGTTAATTTTTATATTTAAAACATTTAATAAATTTTAAGTTCGATTATAATTTATCCCGTTTTACTTGTTTTAAGCAGAAGACATTTTTTTTTTTAATTCCCGGAAATAATAATTTAATTTAATAATCGAGCAAACGTAACGGAAACTGAGTTTTAAATAACGATATAGGAGATGAAACGCTTTAAATGAAAAAATTATTATTATTATTACGTATTCATCGGTTTTTATTTATCGAAAAGACTTATCGTTTATTATTATTATTATTATTATTATTATTATTATTATTATTATTAGTTTACGTCATTATCATTATTATTATTTTTTTAAATTTTTAAACTTTAAAAAAATTTTTTTTTTTTATTTTATTTTTTTTTTTTTTTTAAACAAAAACTTTTACCCCCGTGATTTTTTATTGTTTGTTGTTTGTTGTTGTTTGTTTTTCGACATATTTTCACTTAAATAAATGACGTGGAAACAATCGAAAACAATCGCTTCCGATAATTTTTCACGTGTCAAAAATTTATTTTTTTCATTTCGAGACTAGACTACATACATCAAACGTATATTAACTTTATAAATCTTTTAAAAATCTCTTTTTTGCGACAAAAACAACAACAACAACAAACAACAAACAATATTTCATTACGGGTTTCCCCCCCTCCCCCGAAAAATAAAACAATAATAATAATAATAATAATGACGCGAATATTTTTTTTTTTGGTCGGTGTAAAAACGAGGAAAAAAAGAAACGAAAAATTTGTTATGCGATGATAAACAATAATAATAATAATAATAATAAATCATTTCGTTTGTCGTAATTTTAATAAACGTCTTGTTATTATTATTATTACTATTACTATACTCCCACGAATGAAATGAATCTTTAGAAAAAAAAAAAAAAAAATTTTTTTTTATTTATATTCCCGATTCGAAGAAAAAAAAATATCCGTCCGCCATTTTGTTTTTTTTTTTTTTCTAAACTCTAATTACAAAATAGGAAATGGCTAATAGAAAAAAAGAAAAAAAATTACATTTTTGAAAACGATTTAAATAATTTTCCGGTAAATTTTACCTCCTAATCAACTCTCTGGATAAAATTTATCGCCCGGAGGTTTTCTTTTTTTTTTTTTTTTTTTTTTGGAATTAATTTTTCCAAAATGGTTTTTCTTTTTTCTTTTTCCTTTTTTTTTTTAATTAAATATTATTTCAAATTTATTCGCCATTATTAATCATTAATAATATTAATAATAATAATTCCCCCTTCTTTTCATACCTTTTTTTGTTTTCCTTTTTGTTTTGAAAAATTTCTTCTATGAAACGTCGCGTTTGAAAATAACAAACAAGTTGCGGGTGCGAGTTGGATTGTGTTGGTATCCGTTGGACAAAATCCGTTTTTTTTTTCAATCAGTTTCGTTTCGGTTTGTTCTACGTTCGATCACGTGGTTAAAGGTTTTTTTTTTGTGTGAAATCGTAATGTCCAAACTGTAAATCGATGACAATTAATTTAAAAAAAAAAAGGTTTAAAATTTCGTGGTGTAGTGATAAACCCTTCCTTCCTCCCCTCCTCCCTTGTAGAAACCAACCGATCGGATTCGGACCCAAACGAAAAAAAAAAATGAATTCGTGAACGTACCTACGTACGAACGAGTCGAATCGTCTCGTTCCACGTTCGTCAAATAAATTACTCTATGGAATTTTTTTTTTTTTTTAATATTCAATATGCGTTGCTTATAAGTATTGCATTAAAAAACTATAAATTACTTCCTGTTAACAAAAGGAACAAAAAACTCGAATAATTTTCAATCGATACTAATAATAATAATAATAATAATAACAAATCGATATTATTTCTCATTCGTCGTTATTATTATTATTATTATTTGTTAAATGAAAAATATCGATTATTCATCTTCCACCTGGAAATTAATATTAATAATAATAAAAATAATAATAATAATAATAATAATAATAATAATGTTTTAAAAAAAAAAAATAATAATTGAAAATAAATATTAAAAGGAGAAGATATGGCTTTTTTTAAAATATTCACGTTGTGGAAATCGAATCGATTTATCGAAGGTAAAAAAAAAAATTATGTTATTTCACGCATGCGTAGCAGATGTTTTTTTTTTTTTTTTATCGTAGCAGTAGATATATATATATATATAATAAATCTTAACGAAATTTAGGTACTACGTGGGGTTAACGTTATTCAAATAAAACCCGTTTTACTTTTTTTTAATAGTAAAAATTAGATCGTAGTAAATAATCATTATTATTATTATTACGAACCCAATTTTTTTTTTTAAATGACGTTAGCCTTACATAATTTATTTATTTATGTACATAAAAATTTTAATTTTTAATTGAATAATTTTCGTGATAACTATGTGACAAGTATAATTTTGTCATCAACGAAAAAAAAAAAAAAAAGGAAAATTTGCTTTATCATTATTAGAGAAATTACCCTAATATTTGTTTTTCTTTTTTTTCGATTGTAAAATTTTTATTTTAAAAATGACCTTAATAATAATAATAATAATAATAATAATAATAATAATAATAATAATAAATTTTTTATTTACTTTGATAAATGAATTTTCTATATATATATGTAAATTATTTATTTATTTATTTTTTTATAAGTCATAAATTTTTTTTGCTCTGTAATAATTTATTCACGATTTTTGTTTCATGCACGAAATTGAAATTTAAAAAAAAAAAATTTAAATTTAAATTTAAATTATTAAGGTTTGCTAACAACCTTGAAATACAAACGGATGATTTTAGGTTTTTTGCGGTTATTTAAACAACAACCGTACAATTTTTATTTTTGTTGTTGTAATGACGTAATTATTATTAACTCGTCATAAGATTTTTTAACGTTTGTTATTGTGTAAAAAATGATATCGAAATACCCATTATTCGAAAGCCCCCCCCCGAAATTTCCGGATTTGAATTTTTTGAGGATTTTCGCGTTAGGCGAACTAACACCCCCCCCACTTATTTCAAAAAATTTTTTTTAATTTACGACAAAGAGCGTCAAATACGTGATTTTTATAAATATTTATTATTTCGAATAAATAAATATGGCGGCGAAAATTTTTTTTTTATTTCACGCAATTCAAATTTAAATTTTTCTCTCTCTCTTTTCCACCCCCTCCTCTCTCTCTCTTTCTCTCTCTCTCTCTCTCTCTCTTGCAGCCCCTCCCCTCTCTCTTTCTCTCTCTCTCTCTTTGAATTTATAACATTTAATAAAGTATAAAACACGACTGGGTTAAATTAAATTCCTTTTTTTTTTTTTTTTTTAAGGTTTCGAAGAATCGGAAAAAATCACTCGTGGTGATTCGTCAACGACGACGACGACGACGTCGACCATTTTTAAAAATCAATCATCACCGATTGGATTGAATTTTCAAGATGGCACTAAAAATTTTAATTTTTACGGAGAAATTGTTAATCAATACGAATCTTTGATGAAAAGATTTTTAGTAGATGCTCAGGTAATAATAATAATAATAATAATAATAATAATAATAATAATAATAATTAACATTTTAGTAATTTTCAAGTGAGAAAATTTTTTTTTTAAAAAATCCGATTTAAAAAAAAAAAAAAAAGATTTTTCGTACGTAACATATCCGACATAGACCGACGAAAGGATTAAGGATAAAGAGAGAAAAAAGGATTTATTAGTAATAAAAAGGTTTTTCCACTGGAATGCGGTCGACTCCCGGAGAGCTTTACTGACTTTTATCCGTAAAATTTTCCCTTCGTTTTCTAGAAAAAACCGAGTCGTGACTTTTTTTTTTTGTTTTAAACATTTGAGAATCGAATCATTATTATTACTATTATTATTTGTTTCAATGGTTTTCATCATTTGCGCATGCGTGAAACATTCAACAGGATTTTTAAATCGTTATTGACACGAATTTTTAAAAATAATTTCAACAATTTTTCCTCTCTAGAACCTATCGTCACTGACGATTACCCAACAATCTTAAAGCTATCACGTTTCTCTCTCTCTCTCTCTCTCTCTCTCTCTCTCTCTCTCTCTCTCTCTCTTTCTCTCTGATTCTTTGTAAAATGATAAATAAAAATAATAAAACTTACCGTCAGGAAAAATTTTCCTTTTTTCTTTTTTCTTACGTAGGCCAAATTTCGCAGAATGGTCGAAGAAAACAAACAGCTCGTATCGAGGATTGATGATGAAATTCAAAATGCTCACGCACAAGTCAACAATCTTCGAGACGACCTATTAGACACAAACAAACGTTTAGATGAACATATCAATAATAGTAAATTGGATAGAGAAATTATATTAAACAACGTGTTAAACGATAAAAATGCCCCATCGACCGAAAAAAATAATGAAAATCAACAGGAAAACGTTAAAATACAAACATCAGAAACAACAACCAACAACACAAATCCGTTTTGTGATAATTTTCAATCCGTTAACGATAACGAAAATAAAATAAATTTTTTCGGTGATAAAAAAACAATTAATTTTTTCAATAGTAAATTATGCGAATCGAATAATTTTTTTAGTAATAGTTTTTCGGATTCTATTACAAAAAGAAACAATCCTTGTTCCACGACGACAAACGCAACAAACAACACAAACAATTCATCGTTTACGAAAAAAGAAAATTCGGAGGAATTCGAGTCCGATAAGAAAAATAACGTTTTCGTCGATTGTACGGCTAGTAAAATATTTAAAACAAACGATTCGAATAATAAACCTGATATAAAACCTGAAGATTTTGTCGTGACGTCAAATTTAAAATTAAATTTTTTAACTAAATCACCGGATAATTCCATAAGTAAAAAATATGGGGAAAAAAATACCGGAGCCGTACCTAAAAAAACAAAATCTTTTTTGAGCGACGATACGAAATTTAAAATTAATGGTATGATATCGAGAAATTCGACACGCGATGGTGTTGTTGGTGGTAAAACAAATCCGAAAGAAGTAACCGTCGAAGATTTTGTAAGGCCTATGTCACCGTTGCCAGCCAATCAGGGTGAGGAAATCAATTTTTTTATTTTTTTTGGTAACAACTTTCGAAAAAGAAAAACTTTAATTTTTAAAATTTTAGCCGATGAAAATGTTAAAATAAGCCATCAGAAATCTACTAGTTGGGAGGGGAGTCAAAATACGACGACGTTATCGAAATTAAAATTAGAAAATGAAAAACTTCATAGAGAAATAGAATGTTTAAAAAATCAATTAGGTAAAAAAAAAAAATCAATCGGAAAAAACAGTTCGTCTTCTGACACGACAGGTAATATGTTCTACACCAAATCAAAATTTTTATTCCCTTAAAAAAAAAAAGGCGGGAAAATTAAACTAATTTTTAAAAAAAATTTTTTTAGATTCGCCGACGAGAGAAGAAGAAGAAGATGATGATGATGATGATGAAAATGTATCAAACTCTCGGTCTAGAATAAAACAATTGGAAGAAGAACTTTTACAAGCTAAAGAAGCAATGAACGCCTTAAAATTAGACAGAAAAAGACTAAAACAAGAAAAATACGATTTATTAAATCAAATGAAACAATTATATGGAACACTCGAAGATAAAGAAAAAGAACTTCGGGATTTTATAAGAAATTACGAACAGGTAAAAAATGGAAAAACATTTTTTTTTTTTTTTATTGAAACGCATTTCAATAAAATTTATTATTATTATTATGATGATGATGATGATGATGATTAACAGAGAATAAGAGAAAGCGAATCTTCTTTGCAACAGTTATCGACAGAAAGAGAAGAAAGAGAAAGAGAAAAATGGAGCCTTTTAAGACATGCCAGAGATGAAGCGGAACGATCTTTGTCTTTAGCAGCTCAACTTGCGGCTAAAGATGCTCACATTCAACAATTACAAGAGAATTTAGATGAGGTCCGAGGTCATTTCATAAAATCATTTTTTTTTTTTTTTAAATACGTACCTTTTATTATTATTATTATTATTGCGTAATTATTTATGTATTTTGCAGGCAAGAAGACACGGGACTGGTCCTAGTCTCTCCGATCAAGAATCTCTTGCATCAATGTCTGTATCGCGAATAAACGGATCTACTGGAGGTATGACGCCGACAAGCACGCCTCAGGTACCTTTAGGATTGGGTCTTCTTCCGGGTGATAGAGGATCTTGTAGTGCTGATTCTGGCGTGAGAGGTTCCAGTGATCGTGAGAGTGGTGGAGCTACAAGTGGTGGAGGTAAAAAATTTTCGAATCAAAAACTTTTTCGTTTAAAAAATACGTTTAAAAAAAATTTTTTTTTTTTTTGTTTCAGGTACCCCGACCCTTACTCAAGAACAGAATCAACTTAGTTCTAGATTAGATATGGATTCTGTTTCTATTACGTCTTCCGCAAATCCGTCACATTTATATCAAAGTAAGTTAATTACAAAAAATTAAAAAAATGATGAACTAAAACTTAAAAACCGATTTAATTTTTTTTTTTTTTTCAGCCGTATCTACACCCAAAGACTGTAGCCCATCATTATCTCCTCTTAATGCTACTACATTTTCCCGGTCTATCGATAATAACGTACTCTCAAGGTAACCAAAACTAATTTTATTTTTACGAGTCTTATTAAAAATATAAAATTTGTCTTTATATTTTTATTCTTAGATCCGTTGAACAATTAAGCAGTCCCCTAGAAGAACCCAAACGAAAAACCCATCATAGTCGGTTGACTGGTAGAGGAGGTGCTTGGGGTAGCATATCAAGAGTTTTTACAAGAAACAGACACAGAAAAGTATCGAGTCCTAGCAGTCAAGAAGGTAAAAATTTACATAATTAAAAATTTAAAAATCAAATACTAATTGAGTAATTCTTTTTGTTTTTAAAAAGATTCAGCCGAAAATTATCGCAGCTGGTCTCCTTTAACCGAAGAAGGATACGCTGAAAAATTAAGACTTTTAAGAGAAGCCGCAACTATCCCAATGGAAAGATGGAGAGCACCTGCCGTATTGGCATGGTTAGAAATAGCTTTGGGTATGCCACAATATGGGCCGAGATGTGCAGAAAATATTAAAAGTGGAAAGGTACTTAATTAATTACTTAAACATTTTCACAAATTCGTTCATTTACACCGTCCATTTTTTTTTTTTTTTTGAATAGGTTTTATTAGAACTAAGTGATTTAGAATTAGAGTGTGGTCTAGGGGTGACTCATCCAATGCATAGAAAAAAATTAAGATTAGCTATCGAAGAACATAGACATCCAGCATTAGTAAGATATCCGTGTATAGCACAATTAGGCCACACTTGGGTATCCAATGAATGGTTGCCAGATTTAGGATTAGGCCAGGTAAATTGATATAAAAATAAATAAATAAATAAAAATGAAAAAGAATTTAAACGAACGATTGTCTTATTATAAATTTTCAGTACACGGAAAATTTTGCGACAAACATGGTCGATGCGAGAATGTTAGATCATTTAAGCAAAAAGGAATTGGAAAAATTTTTAGGTGTTACGAGAAAATTTCATCAAGCTTCAATAGTTCACGGAATACATCTTTTAAGAATGATGAAATACGATCGGCAGGTACAACAATAAAACCTTTTTTTCCTTATAAAAAAAATCATTTCAAATTTTAAATAAAATAAACTTACTTTAAGGCTTTAGCTGTTCGGAGACATCAATGCGAATCCGTAGATGCTGATCCTTTAGTATGGACCAATCAAAGATTTATCAAATGGGCTAGAAATATTGATTTATGTGAATATTCAGATAATTTAAAAGGTGAATCAAATAAGTTTTTAATTGTAAAAAAAAAAATACCCTCGTATTTCCGGCCGGTCGGTTTAATTCATCCCTTAAAATTTCAAAATTAAAAAAAATTTTATTTTCTCTTTCACAGACAGCGGCGTACACGGAGCCTTGGTAGTTCTCGAACCTTCTTTTAACGGTGATACAATGGCAACTGCATTGGGTATTCCACCATCTAAAAATATAATAAGAAGACATTTATCGGCTGAATTAGAAGCTTTAATACTTCCTGCAAGGTAAAATCATTTATTTTAATTATTATTATTATTATTATTGATAACTTGGATACAATGATACTCAACCTCTGTTTAAAAAAATTCAACGCGATTGTAGTCTGACAATTATTAAGAGTATAAGAAAAAAATTATTGCTAAATATCAGTTTCTCCAAATTTAGGTATGTGATATTCTGCCAGATGGAAGAGTATCAAGCAGAAGTGGCAAGAGCCGTCAACAATGTCAAACACATTCAAAGATGAACTTTTCATATTTTTAGTTTTTTTTCTTTCTTTTTTTTTTTTCTCTTTTACAACTCATTACAAATTATCGCAGCATTGTGATTTCTTTCTTTTTATTTATTTTATTATTATTATTCTTATTTTTTTTCAAAACATTAAATCCGTGGACGGTAAACAACGTGCCGCTTTTTGTTTTAAAATACCTGGGGACCATTAAATTAATAATTATTTTATTGAAAAGATTTATCATACTTACAATTCAGGCGTTTAAAACGAATTCATTCCACTTTTAAACGATTATTGTTGTTTCAAATGATAATTTTTTTTTTTTTTTAAACTGATCTTTATCTTTCCACTACTTGTATGTTTTTTTTTTTTTTTTTTTCCCTCCTACTTTTTGAAAGTTGTTTTATCGGTTTCAAATGATCGTTTGAAATATGAGTGTCTAAAAAAAAAAAAAAAAAAAAATGAAAAAAAAACCGTTAAAAATTACCAGCTTGTTAATTTCCTTATGCTTAACATATGCAATTATATATGAAATCAATTCTGGCAAATTATGAGCTAAATTCATGCAGTACCTTATTTGCTTAGACAATAATAATAATAATAATTAATTTATATATGTAATTATGATTGAAACTAAAAGTTACCCCCCGCGATAATATTTTCAGCAATTACAAAATGAATTATATTTTAAATAATTGTAATTTTAAAAAGAAATGAAATTTATAAATTATTAATTACCTTATTATAATGATATTGTTTAACGTACAAATATTTGTTTAATATATCATTTAGTGACATTGATTTTTTCAAATTACGAATATATTATTGTTTTTTTTTCCCATTTAAAACAAGAAATTTAAAAAAAAAAAAGGCACAATATAAAATTAAATTTTTGATAGAAAAAAAAAAAAACTAAACTAACGCTCACCGATTGACTTTTCGCACGTAACTTGTGACAAATACTCACTGCATCTCGTCACTCATTGGTCAATTTTTAAAATGCTTGAACGCACTCTATGACGTAATAATTTTATCTCTACCTCACACCACCGATGGTTAATGAATTTGAAATTGTTTTCGTGTTCGAAAAAAAACCGTTTTTTTTTTTTAAAAAAAAGATGTTTAGCTTATGTAACGTAAAAAGAATTAAAATTAAAAATTTTTTTTTTAATAAAAAAGGAAAAAACGAGATTAATAAATTAATCGACTTTTTGAATTAAATAATTTCAGGAAACTTATTAGGAAATGTTATTATTAATTTTTGCCGTATTTATTATTCTAATGAAAAGATTATTATGAAAAGTGATTTCCTTTACGGTTAATAATTCAATTAAAATTTAAATTCTAATAATGATTAAATGAAAATTTGAAATTTACACTTAAATAACGACAAAATTTACTTAAAACCACTTTTTCAATGAGGGAAATTGGATTTGATTATGGATTACAAAATTTGTATATATTTTATTTTGATTTGTATCAATCCCATTCCAAAAAAAAACAAAAAAACATATCACTAACTTTAATAATGAGATGAAAAACAAAATGGCAGCAAAATCACTTTTTTTTTTAAATATTAAATTCATGTATGATTTTGATATATATAATTTATATCAAAAAAATCAAATCATGTTTATTTTGTTTGAATTCATTCATTCATTCATTCATTCACTGCATAATTTTTATTTTGTATTGCTTTTATTATTTGGTTTGTTTGTTGGGTTGTTTGATTTTATCATTATTATTTTATTTTTATTTTTATTTTGTATTTTTTTTGTTTTTTTTTTTTTTTTTACATTTATATCAAAATCATTATTTAGAAATTCATTCGATGAAATTTTTGGAAGAAATCAAAGAAGAATGGAAAGATTTTTAAGAGGTGGAAGTTTGGGAAGAAGTTTAGCAGCAAGAAATTTAACTGATAATATAAACGAAGAACAACCACAGCAACAATCACAACAACAACAACCACAGCCACAACAATCATCTTTTGAAAGACCAAATCGTTTGACAGATATGCAAGAATTCGATGGAAAATTTTTAAATTCTGATGATAATTCAAAAATTAGTTTAAAGGTAAGATTCGCCATTTTGCTTTTTCTCACATTTGCTTTCATTTGCTTTCATTTGTCACAACCATCACCACCACCACCACCACCACCACCGCCACCATCTCAAGCTATTACTAAAACATTAACATAAATATTTACAACAGAAAGATAGAAAGATAATAATAATAATAATAACAATTAGCGACCAGTGATTGTAATTGATGTGAACGCCTTTGTTAAAAAAAAATTATTTTCCTTAATTAAAATTAACCTTTTTATTTTAAAACTCACCATTATTATCATTATTATTATCAATATAATTACCATCATCGTTGATTTCGACGCCATTTTCTTTTTTTTGATTCATTTTCTCAAACTGGGTCAAACAACAATCGCTATAATAATAAAAATCATTCAATTAATTATTATTAAATATTATTTTTTTTTTATACACCAAAGTCAATTATTAAAACAAATTATTCCAGGTGGGGAGGAGGGAGGGGAGGGGAGGGGAAACTGTGATAAGAGTTATCAGAATGGTAGAAATTAAAAATAATATAATCATTATACGTTATAAGGGTGTGTATAAATAAAGAGTAATAATTAATTAATTATTTTACTTTAAACTTGTAAAAACTTTATGACGTAATAATTATTACGTAACAGGAAAAATTAATGTTATATAATAATAATAATAAATGAACGCGACGAGATAATCTACGTACATAATAATTTTCTTATATTTTTTTTTTTAATGCTAACTCGTGACGTCATAATTTTTACAGTTACAAAGTCTCAATTACTTAAAAAAGGTAATATTAATTAAATTTTATACTTTATCATTTAATTCATTCGTTAATAATAATAATAATAATAATAATGATAATAATAATAATAATTTTGTCTATTCTTTTCTTTAAAGTTTTCATCATGGAAAATACCACAGGTGAGAGTTTTAACAAATATTATTTAAAAAAAAGAAAACATAGAATTATGGAGAAAATGTTGTTGTTTGTTTTTTATGTTTTAGAATTCATTGAGTAGAGTATTAAGTTTTAAACAAAATAGACAATTTAGTTTTCCATTAAATTATAAAACATTTGTTAAACCTGTACAATCACCGACATCATCATCCGAATACGGTTCTATAGCATCTTCGTTTAACTTCAGGTAATAATTAATTAATCGTACCTTAATCTTTAGAAAAAAAAAAAAATGAAATGCGATTACCTCAGTTTTTTTTTCCTGTTTCCTGTTTCCTTCCAGGGCTTCTTCTCCACCGGAATTAGAAACGTCATCATCATCACATACCAACAATATCGAATCATCATCCGAAATGAAAAATTTTTTATTGAAAAAAAAAAAAAGACAACACAGAAGAGCTAAAAGCATCGGCGACATAACCGTGACACCTGTTTGAAAACAAAAACAAAACAAAGCGAATGTACAATCAATCAATCAATCAATAATAATAATAATAATAATCGAATATCTCACCTTATTATTATTATTATTTATTTAATTGTTTATAAAAATTTTTTTTTTCGTCGGTATTATTGTTTATATTTTGTAATTGCTGATAATTTGTCGTTGTTTTATTATTATTATTATTTTGAATGTTTTATGTAAAAAAAAAAAGATTTATTGTATACATTACGTAATAATAATAATAATAATAATAATAATAATAATAATAATAATAATAAATAAATAAATTAGTTTAAATCGATGATCGTTTGTAATTCGGTGTGTGTTTAAAACTGGATATTTTGTCAAATATATACATAAATATATTTATTTTAATTATTTCGTTATTTTTTAATTAAACCGGAAGTAAAAAGAAAACGGTTTGGCAACAGTGTAATATTTAATATTTAAAAATGAAAAAAAAAAAAAATTAATTAATAATTAATTACATTTATGTATTGTCAAAAAAAATACATTGAAATGATATGCCTAAAATTGCACTCGAAATCAACTGTTTACACTATTATTATCATTATCATTATCATTATTATTATCACGTTAATAATAATCACTAAAAAATTGCACCTGAAATCTATTTAATTAATTTTAAAAAAAAATAATTACAAACGTCTATAAATAATCGACTACTTAACATACATAATTAGTTTTTTTTTTGTTGTTCGAATTATTAATTAATAAATTTTTATTAATTAATAAACGTTTGATGATAATCTCAATTTCCATAGAGATATAGGCCTTTTAAAAGCTGTTACCTGTCCGTGTTCTTTACCCCCGATTAAAAAAATCGTCAATGGGGGTCCGGAAGAGGTCACGGGGTCATTTTTCGAAAATTCATCGTTAATATTTTTTTGCAAATAACTATTTAACAAATCCTGTTTGTCGAATTGTCTCGTCGTAGAATTCGTACGAAATTTTTTTTTCTTATCGTTTGTTATCGGTATGGTTGTAGTATTGTAGGGATTTCCATTGAGTGGTAAATATTTTGGCGGGGATCTCGGTTTGTGATGAGGCGGCGGTAATTTACCATTCGTCGCCATTTTTTTCCCAATGTTTTGCATTTCTACGTTTTCCTTATGCGAATTATTCGTTAAAATTTTACCCGAAGTATCTTCTAAAACGCTGTCGGGTGGAGAATTTAACATTTTGGCACATTTTTGTCCTTCTTTCGATTTCAATATGGTTTGTACGTCGGGTCCCATGTAATGAGGATTACTAAAACCGAATCCCGAACTTTTACCCAATTTAACAGACGAATCCGTACTTTTACCGAATTTCAATTCTGGATAATCGTTAATTAAATTATCCCTACGATGTATTTCACCTGGACTTTGACTGTAATTACTCGATACGCTAACTTTATTAACGGTTTCTATGCTGCAATAATCCGACGTGAGTTCCAAATCCGTTACATCCAATTGTTTTTTAAATCTTACGACGCTTGCACTTTTCGGTAATAAATTACCATCGAATGTTGTTTTCAAATTTTCATTTTCTTCACAACATAGAGACACTAAATGTGACGTGTAACTATCACTTTGGCACTTTTTATTAAAACAATAAATATTATTATTATCGATATTTTTATTCGTTCCATCTTTTCCATTGATATCATGTGAAAATGGCGTACCCGGTAAATTTATTTCATTATTATTATTACATGAATTTTTTTTTTTATTTAAATTATTTAATTTGTTTTCATTTTCCGGTTCGATATTCACGAGTTTATCATTTATATCAAATTTTTCCGATGGATGAGTCGTAAAAGAATTTAAATTTGGCACCGATGTCGGATCTCGAGTCAACGAATAATTTATTATTGATTTATTATCGGAATCGATCAATGAAAATTCGTTTGATTCTAATATTGAAAATGGCATTTTATCAGCGGCCGGTGTCAAACTCGAAAAATTCGTTTTCTTTTTTTCGTTGTTGCTGCTGTTGTTGCTGTTGTTTACTATGACGTTAGCACTTTGAGATTTGATCATTCTCGTCGGTGTTTGTTCAGTATCCGAATTTTCTTTTGGTTTTAATAAACTTTCCGTGCTGTCGTGACTGCTGTTCAATGCCGTGTAACTACATTTATTATGATTTATTTTTAATAAATTAAGAGATGATAATTTTGATATTTCTTTTAAAAAATTTAAATTATTGTTTTGTATTGCACTCGTTATTAAATTTCCACTCGAGTAATTGTTGTTGTGGTTTTGGTTGTTGGTTGCGTTTGTAAAAACGTATTTTTTTTCGACCGTCGGCGGACCGACTTTATTATTTTTTCCATAATTTGAACAACCATCGATGTTGTTCTTACAAGTTTTTGTATTTTCATAAGATTGAGATGGTATGTTTTGATTTTTGTTTGGTTCGCCGCCATCTTGAATAAATTCCGATACCGTTAAAGCAATACTTTCCGCTCTGGGATGTGGTTTGTTTCCTGGAAATTGTAATTTTTCCCAAATTTCCGTACCTAAAAAAAAATTAGTTTTTTTTTTTTTTTTAAACGAATCCAGGAATAAACCGAGTTTTAAGGAAAAAAAAATAATATTACCGAAATGAAATCTCCATACGTCATTTAAAAGTACGCCATTTCTTTCGCCGCCGAAAACCAACATCGAACTATGTAATTTACAAACGGCATGAGAATGTAAAGGACCCGGATTTGTTTTTATTTTTATATTGCACCAAAGTTTACTCGCTAAAAACAAAAAAAAATTTAAATTTTTTAATAATAATGACGTCACGATCGGGATAAACTTTTAAAAAAAAAAATTACTTATATCCCATCTCCACAAATCTCCTTTTTCTTGTAAATCCGTCATACCACCGTAAATCCACATTGCGCCATCGTGTAAAACGGCGCTGTGTTTATGTCTTCCGCTAGGTTTTGGTAAACCATCCGATGTTTTTTTTTTCTTCGGGGAAAGTAAATGCCAAGATTCCGTTTCTGATGATAAATAATGAAAATGATAATTTGTTTTTACCCCCTTTCCTCTCTCTCTCCCCTCCCCGTTTAATAATAATAATATTTTTTGAAAGAAAATATTTACCGAAATGATAAGTCCAAAGCTCGTTAGATGATCCTCTCAAATCTTGATATCCACCATAAACAATCATGAATCCCTTGTAAATCAATGCTGAGTGACCCCTTCTTCCCCTGGGGGATAAAACACCCTTGTGACCACGAATTTTTCTCCACGTGTTGGTCTGACAAAATATATATTTTTTTTTTTATTAAATTTACAAGAAATTCTTTTTACTCTTTCATCGACGTGTTATCATCATTATCATCGTAATTTTCTTACCTTCGTGTTGTACATCCATAGCGGAGTTTCGGTACCTGCAGAAAATCCAACTTCACCACCGAAAACATAAATGGAATCTTTAAAAGCGACGGCCGTATGTTCTTGTAAACATGGCGGACGATCACCCGACGGTTCCAACTGATTCCATTTTCCTTCATCTTTAATAATAATAATAATAAAAAACGTCATTTGAGAAAAATTGTCTAACGATAAATAATAAAATCTTGGAAAAAATTTCCGTCAATTAAATTTATTACGTCATCATAATTAATTATTAATTTTTATTTGGATGGTATCGATTTCACAGACGCCATATTGAAATTTATATATATGCGTGCGATACTCACTGATATTATATTTCCATAAATCTTTTAACGGAAGATTTCCATTTCTTCCACCGAAAACGTAAACGTCATTTCCTAAAAGTGTCGCGCTGTGTTTTGTCCTAGAGGACGGTGCTAAATTTTCCGGCGTTTGTCCTATCGAAACCCACATGATATTTCTGAAAAATAATAATAATAATAATTAAAATTTCATTTCCTATCCCTCTCTCTCTCTCTCTCACTCTTTTTCTTCAAGCGTGCATCTGTTAACCTTCCAAAAAAAAAAAAAAAATATGAGAAACAAAAAAAAAAAAAAAATGGACGTAATAGAAAGTGAAAGAAAGTTAAAACATTAAATTAGGATATATATGTAGGAGAGAAAATAATTCGAGTGTTGCCATGGTAACATTTAAGAGATGAAAAGAATAGGGATGCTGCTGCTGCAACAACGAACAACTTTTCGCATTCTATAAAATTGCTGTTGCTGCTTTTGCTTCTCCTGTTGTTCTCTCTCATCCAATTCCAGTCGTTTTAAAATTTTTTCCAATTTTCAATTTTCCTAACCCGTTTCTACTATCGTTATCAATTTTTTTCACATTGATAAGGAACGATATCGTCTGCTAGAATCATTAAAAATTTTTTTTTTTAAATAATTCATTCCGATAACAACAATAAAATGATCCGCCATTTTTTTCTCTCGTCATCACATACAAAAAAAAAAAAAGGTGTGGAAAATTAAAATGAAATCCTCCGGGGGGAAGTAGGGGGAGAGAGTGAAGGGGGTGGGGTGGGGGTGGGTGTGGAAAGGAAGAGAATGTGAGTGATACGAAAAAAAAAATTTTCACTTAATTTCCCTGTGGAAAAATAAAAGGAGAAGAAAAAAAAGAAGGAAAAAAAACGATTTTCACGGATATGTTTTAATATATTTTTTTTTTACCTCCGGTTTCCTTTTCCGGTCAATAATAATGGTAATAATAATAATAGGAAAAGGTGAAAATTGACGATGAAATTTGACTTTTCGTGTTTTCCAATTGGAAAAAAAAAAAAAAAATCAAATGAAAAATTAATAAACGACATTTCGTCGACGAATTCGTCGACGTAAAAATTTTTAGGGGAGGAAAATTTTAGGTCGAGGGTTAAAAAAAAACCAACAAAGGGATGTTTGTTGTGATGTTGTTTGTTGTTGTTGTTGTAATTCCTGTCGTCGATTTACTTGATGTTTTTCCTATTTTATCCAAATCATTATTTCCCTTTTTCTACGACATGTTTGAATCGATTTAAAAAATTTTCTCTAAATGTTCTGGAAAATTTAAAATTTAAACTGGATAAAAATCGATTGATTGATTGATTGATTGAATATTTTTCTAAGATTTTCATTTAACCTGGAGAAATTTTTCCAGGTTTTTGATAATAGAAGAGCATTCCGAATTAAGTTTTTCTTTAAAAAAAAAGAAAAAGTTTTCCATGGAAAATTATCATTTATTTTCTAACGTCACGACATTTTTGTCATTTCACATTCTCTCTCTATCTCTCTCTCTCTCTCTCTCATATTCCCTCTTCCTTCCTCTTTTTTCCTCTCCCTTCCTCTCTTCCTCTTTTCTCAACCTAAAAAAAAATAAAAAAGTTTTTTTTTTTTTTCTTTTTTGGTTTCCTTTTTCTTTCTTTTCCTCGATTATCATTTTATCCTTTTTCTTCTTTTTATCGTCGTATTTTTATTATCATTATTATTATTACTTTTTTTCCTTTTTCATCTCGTCGTCCTTTTTTCAAAGGTGAAACCATTGAAATATTTTGTAAAACACAAAAAAAAAAAAAAAAGTTTCAACTTAAATAAATAAATAATTAATCCATTTAAAAAAATATCACGTTGACATTTGAAAATTCGGCGGAGGCGGAGGCGGGGGGCGGGAGGTAGTAGGAGGGAGAAAGGGCGGGTGGGAAATGGCGATGATAATAATAATAATATTAAATAAAATATAAAATATTTTTCTTACCTTGTTTGTTTTTTTTCGGTTGAAATCCTTTTCTTCGAATACAAAATTTTTTTTTTTCACATTAACTCAACATAACACAAAAGAAAACATTCTGGAGAGGTAGGGAGGAGGGGAGGAGTAAAAAAAAAGCGGGAAAAAAAAAATTTTTTTTTTCCTTTTCTTTTCCATTTTACCAAACACGAACGTCATACATTTTTTTTTTCAGTCCACCGAATTCAAAAAATTTTCTTTTTTTTTTTCAAACTCGGAAGAAAAATCACACAAAATAAAAACAAAAATAAAAAAACACAAACTTAATAACAACACGTTAAAAAAAAACAAACAAACAAATCGAACCGTTCGAAGCAGACTAAAAAATATAAATGATGATGATGATGATGATGATGATGAAAATTTATTGTCTGCTTTATCGAGAACGAAAAGAAAAGAAAAGAAAAGAGGAGAGGGGAGGAGGTAGGAGAGGGAAACGGAAACGCGCATGACCGTCAACACGCGTATATTATATATAAAAAGGGAAAATAAAAAAATAAAATTTAAAATCCTTTTTTTTTTTTTTATTTTCCTCTTTCTCGGAAAATAAATTTTCGTATCGGAAAAACCAAAACAAAAAAAAATCATAATGATGATGATTATTATAATGATCATGAACACGATGATGATGATAATAATGATTATATACCTTTTAAATTATTTACACCGATAAAAAAAATTAATAAAAAATTTTGTATTTACTTATTTATTCATTTTAAAGCCTTTTTCATAAAAATAATAATAATAATTATTCTTTTTTTAAATATGATAATAATAATAATAATAATAATAGGTATTAATATTAACAAAATTAATTATACAAAATAAAAATAAAAATAAAAATTTTTTTTTCTCTCTTGTCTTTTTTTTATAATTGGATAATTTAAAAAAATAGTTAATAATAATAATAATAATAATAATTACTAACAACCAACATTTCTAATAATAATAATAATAATCACAATTCTTTAACTCTTACTTTATATATATATATATATATATATATATATATATATATATATATATATATATATATATATATATATATATATATTTTTTATATATTTATCAATACAAAAAAAAATAAAAAATAAAAAATTTTTTTTTGTGTATGTGTAAAGCATTACTATCCGAATAATATTAATAATAATGATAATGATAATAATGATAATGATAATGATGATAATGATAATAAGTAATAAATAAATAAATAATAGCAAATGTATTTTTTTTTTAAAGCTTTTTAAGCTAAGGCACGAAATTTATGAATTCGCTTTATATAAAAAGCATTAAGGCAATCGAAAAAAAAATAATAATAATAATAATTAATGTCATTTGGTCCTCGTGATCGTAGCAGCAGTGGCAGTAGTAGCGGTAGTGGTAGTAGTAGCAGTAGTAGCGATAGTGATAACAGTCATTAACTTAAAAGAAAAAAATTTTTTTTTTCGTCTTTGTTCTTGCACGAGTCGGGAAAATAGAAAATCATCACAATTAATGCAAAATTATTATTATTATTATTATTATCATTAAAGCCGAACAAAAAAAAAAAAAAATTGATAATAATAATAATAATAATTAATTATCGTTATTTACTTTTGGACGATTGACTAGCAAATCCCATTACATTATTTTTTAAAAATAAATAAATAAATATTAATAATAACATAATAATAATAAAATTTGTGACTTTTAATAAAACGTCCGTTAAATTTTTTTTTAACTTTTTTCAAATGTGATGACGTAATATTGTTAGTTACACGATAATTATGGACCACGTTTTTTTCTTTTCTTATGTAATTTATGAGAATAATGTCTGAATATGTCTGATATTACGTGCTATGTATCATTTTGTCAGGTAAGAGGCACTCAAAAAAAATTATTTACAACAAAATCAATAACAACAAAACAACAACAAACAACAACAACAACAGCAGCAACCTCAGCAGTAGCAGAAGCAGCAGTAGCAGCAGCAAAAAAAAAAACCTACGTTCGATTGCATTCTAAAAAATAAAAAATAAAAAATTTGTTCATGTACTGCAACTTCGTTTGATTGATTGATTGATTGATTGATAACCAATATAAATATATATATAAAAAATTATTATTGTCTTTTCCTTAACGAAATGTCATGATGATGATGATGATGATGATGATGAAAATAAAATTAATTTTCCGAGAGCAAATATTTTTCCAGGGGGCAAACAAAGCAAGTAAAAAAAAAATCAACTCAATAGCGTTTCATTCCCTTTTTTAACAAAAAACAACCCGTGACCCCGTGACCCGACAACTCAGCAAAAAAACGAATGACTTGTTGTTTCCGGTTGTTTCGCGATTCATTTTCACCTCTCTTTACATATTTGCGAACGGAAATGGAAACTTTTCCACGTGCGAGTCACGTGGTATGTCTTCATCAACCGTGATAAAAATACCTCGATTATTGTACCTAAACGTGAAAACCGCAAATGATGATAATGATGATGATGATGGTGAAAACAATAAACGTATAAGTACTTGAAATATTCATACTCGTAAAAAAAAAAAAACTAAGTACAATTTTGACTTTTTTTTTCCCCCCTTTCCCCCCCCTCAATTACCGCCGCCGGCCGAAGTGAGACAGATTATATCGAAGAAGAACTTATGTGATAATACAAAAAAATTAAAAATTATCTCATTTTGGCATTCAACTTCCGTTTTTCAACGGACTGTTTGGCACGGAATACGACGACGGAAGTTTGTACACGATCGTGTCGCCGTGAGAATGAAATTCAGGTTCCGTCGTTTCCATGCTCGTTTCCAACGTCAACGATTTTGTTTTCTTACCGAGAGAACATTGAAATTTACTGCTCACCGTCACGGGTATATCGGAATTTTTCAACCTGAAATATAATTATCATTATCATCATTACTATTTTCCTTACGAAATGGAAAAAATTTTCTTCGAAAAAATTCAAATTTTCAAAACTGGACTCACTGATGATATCTGGATAACAAAACACCCAACAATTCCCCGACCAAATCCTCTTTCATTTGATTCAAATAAAGCGAAAGAACCAAATCGTTTCCGGAATCAGAATGTATGACGATCAATTGATCCGCTCCAGGACTCAAACTAATTCCGGTAACCTAAACAAAACGGAAACAAACAAACAAAAAATTAAAAAAACGATTAAAATTAACGCGTCGAAAAAGCGTGAAAAAAAAAAAAAATTATTATTTACAAAAAAAAACCCTTTCAACGATTTAAACAAAAGGAAATTCGATACTCTGGAATTTCCCCGCCCCCGTCCCCCTCCTCCCGTTTTCCCCTCCTCTGTAATTTTACCTGCGTTATGTTTATCCCTTTTTTCATGGGTTTGAATTTTGTCGTGTCGATTTTGTATATTTGATCGTCGGTGATTAAAAGAGCTCGATCCGCGTTCTTATGATGTTTGTTCGTTTTGTGAACAAACGAGGAAAACAAAACGTTTTGAAAATGATCCGTGTTTTTCAAATTGTTCGTGCTTATCGTGAACACGGAAGATTTTGGATTTTCCGACGATTGACTCAAATAATTTCCTTCCCATTTTCTCGATTGTCCCCACGTTTGCCGTTTGCCCCGTAACGCGCTAGCAGCAGACATCTGGAAATTTTTTTTTTTTTTTTTTTTAAATAAATATACAACAATCGCAACAATCCCTCGCCGAGAAAATTGTTCAGTACTTTCAAACGTAATTGTGGCCAATCTTCTCTGGGTATTTTTCTTAAAATCATCCACGCTCGCCATCTGTTGTACATTTTTTTCAATGAGGGAACGGCTTTCTGAACGCAAATCGGAGCAGGTGGCCATGGCAAATTTTTCCCGTAATCTTTCAAATTTCCCGCATTTCTACCGGGAAAAAAAAAAAAGGAAAATATCAAACGCGTTTACAAATCACACACACAATTCGACTTAACAACAAACAACAAACAAACAATCGACATACTTAAAAGTTCTTTGCAATTCGTTAATGTATTCTCTCCTCTTGTAATTTTTGAAATAAATCATTATGTGATAGGCAGCTTTTAATTTTTTGTACCTGAACCTGCAGAGAGCACCGCGCCATTGTTTTTGTAATAATATAACGATCGATGGTATTAAATCGCTTCTGGCCTGAAACAAAAAAAAAAAAAATGTTTCTTCTTCCGACCGTTTCCGAGGACAACATAAAATTTTATATATAAATTACATTTAAACTACTACCTTTTCTAATGCGAAAAGTGTTCTCGGAGACCTTATAAATACTTTCGTCTTACCATATTTTACATCGTTGTGAAAACCGACGCTTTCTAACAACACTTGAACGGCTTCTTTATCCGAATCGCCACGAAAATTAGGCCAAGTGTAAGTAGAGATCATTTTATACCTGACGAAATAAAATGGAGAGAGAGAGAGAGAGAGAGGGGGGTCAGGGAAATGACAAACATAAATATAAAAGTAAATTCATTTTCTTTTGCCTAACCTTTTAAGAAATCTATCGTATCTTTGACGGTAAGCGAATCCGGCTCTTCTCACCCGAACGTTTTCTACCAAACCCAAATATCGAACCTGATGTTCGACTCTGTCGTGATCGAAAACGCTCGCGGATTTGATTTCGTTCGGTTTTATGCAACGTACGTAAAAGGGTTCCTTGCTCGTGAGTGTTTTGACCAGAGCGATCATAGAATTACGAAATAGAGAGCCCGCCGTCAGTGGTCTTTTCGTCGTCTGCAAGCAAAATCATACAATCATCACACAAAAATTAAACTCTTCAAACCTTTTTTGTAAAAAATTTTGCACGAGGTGACAAATTCGACAGACAACCTTTGTGATGTCCATTTCTCCCTCCGGCCACATGCTGCTCACGGTTTGATTTTTCGAATTGAACATGAGCCTTTTCAAATCTTGAAACAGCGTGTCTTTGTTCTTTTCCAAAAAACCGTTTATGTTGTAAGTCACGTCGCCCGCGTAATGTACTATCCTGAATTCTATTTTGTGTTTTAACGTTTTGTCCATGGGTTTGAGTTGTCTCGAAGCGTAATGAGAATGTGAAGCCAATTGTTTGTCCATGGCTTCCAACAAAAGCTGAAAATCATTTCACATTTTCCTTTTAGAAAGGACTTTTCTCCTCCCCCCCCGCCGGATTCTTTTGACATACATACCTCATCTGTTATTTTCCCGACGTTGAGACACGCTTCATCCAAGATTGCCAATATTCCCTTGTGTGGTTGTTCGACCAATTCGCATATCGTTTTATTATTGAAATATTCAATGTTTGTCCATTCGATCCCTTCTCTTAAATATTCTTCTTGTTCTTGTTTCAAAACCAATTCTGACATAAAAATAAAAACATTTGCCTCATTATTATTATTATTATTATTATTATTATTTAATTTTAGTATTAAAGTATTTAAAAAATTGATTAATTGTTAAAAATCATTTCCGATATTTAACACCTTTTGAAAAAAAAAAAAAAAACGATTCGACCGAACACAAGAACTTGAGTAAATAAATAGGTAAACAATATCAAATATTTAAACAAGTTGACTAATCCGCACAAGGCGATATCATTTTACATTTTATCGAATATCACAAAAAAAAAAAATAATAATAATAATAATAATCGAAAAGCGAAGTCGGAAAACTTTCGTCGGACGTTTACGAACCTATAAACAATTGCTGAAGTTTTTCGTTGCAATAATTTATGCAAAATTGTTCAAACGAATTGACTTCGAATATTTCGAAACCGTAAATGTCCAAAACACCGATTACCGTTCCTTGAACCGTCCTGTAACCCGAAGACTTCTCCGTGTTTATCGCACTGTTGACTTTTTTCACGATCCACGTGAACAACCTGTCGTAAATCGCCTGAAAAAAAAATAAAATAAAAAGAAACAAAAATATGAAAACCGGAAACGGATCGAAACGAATCGAACCTTGGCCAAAGCATCCGCCACGAATTTCCCCTCCGACAGCGTTAAATTTTTCTCCATAATTTCTCCTTTGGCGGCGATGACTCGTTTTCTCAAAGCCGTCTGCAATTCTTCCACTTCGACATTTAACAATTTCGATACGATTTCCACGAGATCAGTTTCGATTATTCTTATCGAATCTTCTTCTTCTTTGAACGTCAAGTTACCCTTTGAACACATTTTTTTTCAAATTAATTAATCCTACCACGTTCGAATCTCATTTTTTTTATTTATTTCTTCCTTACTAAATGTAATATGGCGGCGACTATTTTCCAAACCGTGTCTATTTCTTCTTGACTAAAATCTAACGCTTTCATTGCATTCAAAACAACTTTGTGATCTCTTTTATCGCTTATGGCTTCCACTTTGTTCGCACCTCCTTGTTTCGTATAATAATAATGTTCGGGATCTCTTGACAATCCGTAATTTTTTAAATCCCCGTCACTGCATCCACTCAAAAGCTGAAGAAAAAAAAATTTCGTACACGTTTTTCTTTCATTTTTAATTCTCCAATTTTCCTTTATTAATAATTATTATTATTATTATTATTATTAGTTAAAAATTATTACACCGTCCCGTAAAATATATTTAAAAAAAAAAAAAAAATCGAATAGAGAAAGAAGAAAAAAAGACTACCGTGTTTGTTTGTTTGTTTGTTTGTGCGAATTTACAAAGCTCGCGCCCCTACGTGTGTGTTTTTCCATCACCTTCTTTCACAAGCCAACCAACCGTACATAGACAATAATAATACCGAACCTGATAAAAACTATGAAAATTTCTTTCGCCCAATTGTTGAAGAACGACTCTACTTTTTTCTAACAGGTAATTATTTATATGTCCCCCGATGGGATCACCTTTAAAATCGAAATTTATGTCCATGTATTTTCCAAATCTTGAAGAATTGTCGTTTCTGTTTGTTTTAGCATTTCCAAATGCTTCTAAAACTGCGTTCGATTGAAGGAGAACGTTTTTAACCCTGGAGAACAAAAACACATTATTTTTATCAATAAAAAAATAATTTTTTTTTTTTTTTTCCTCCTTGTTTTTAAAAACAATTAAATGGCCGCATGTGAATAAAATAAAACACGTTCGATTTAATAAAATCTTACAAAGAATAAGCAAGAATTTATTTTTTTTTTTTTTATTAAAAATATTTTAAATTTTAAACGATTTACAAAAAAAAAAAATTTATGAAGGACGAAAGAGATTCTACTTGGCATAAAATGTTTTTTTTTTTTTTTTTTTCTCTCTCTCATGTTTGTTTTCGACTTTTAAAAGAATCGTTTTACTATTTAAACAAAAAAAAAATATTATTATTATTATAAATAAATAAATAAATAAAAATATAAAACGTTATTCGCTAATAGAATTTTGTTTTTTTTGCAAACAAACAAACATGTATTTGCTTATTCATAAAATTATGTTTTTAAATTTTATGTTTTTATTTAAACGTTTGTGTGTATGTTTTCGCGACACGATTTTTCCCGTGTTTTTATTTTAATTCAACCACGAAAAAAAAACATAAACACGCGGTTAAAACACGCACGAGGAGGAAAAAAAAAATAAAAAAAAACAATAACATAAATGAAAACATAAATGTCTAATGTCGCATGATTATTTTGCAATTGGTTTTACCACCATTTTTTTTTTTTTAAGCAGAATTGACAGCAAATGAGGAGAAATAAGCTCCAGAAATCGTTCCAGAAATTTTTTTACCCGAGCGTGGGATAAGAAAAAAGACGAGAGGACGGATTAAACGTGACGTAGCATTCGCATAACAAAGTAATAAAATTTCAAAGGAGGGGGGGCGTTCGTTAATGGAAAAAAAATATTTTAGAGTCCCCTTTGGTCCCCATTGGTCCCCGTTTTAATGTCTCGTTTAATTAAAATAACGTTAAGTCGAGCGTTTTATACGGGGTTGACGACGTCTGCGGCGGCGACGGCGACGACGACGGCGGTTAACCGCCGCCATTACCAAAATTTTCTTTAATTTGTATCGCACGAGACCAAAACCAACCCATTTTTTTTTTTGTTAGCTTCGGTCCCCCGCCCCCCATTTTACAATAACATCCTAACCGACAAACGAAAATGATTTTTTTAGGTTTTTTATTTGTTTCCGTTTTGACTATGGCATGCACGCGCACAAAAGGAAACGACTAAAAACACCGTTAATGCAACTCTTTATTTAATGGTAACAATAGTCACGATTCCGACCTCCCGCGCACTTTGACCCGAAACCCATTTCTATAACCCTTATCCGAAGAACAAAAACCGGAAAGAATTAAAAAAAAAAAAAAAAAAAAAAAACATCAAAGATGGCATCGGTTTACCCGAACCGGTTTTAAACTCATTCGATAACTTTTTGGTTCTTTTTTTTATTTTGAAAAAGGAAAACAATGAGAGAGAGGGGGTTGGGGTGGGGGTGGGGATGGTAGAATTAAATTTAATTTTTTTCCATTTACCTTTCGATTTCTTGACGACCCGCCACATTCGTAACGGCTGCAATGTATTTCATTATGATTTTACTCGCTTCCGTTTTTCCAGAACCTGATTCTCCGCTTATGACAATGCAGGTGTCTTTGACTTGTTGTTTCATGATTTTGTGGGCGGAATCAGCGATTGCGAATATGTGAGGTGGATTTTCAAACATTTCCCTTCCGCTGTATTGAGCGACCGTTTCCGGTCCATATATGTTTTTCGCACTGTACGGATTAACGCTTATGCAAACTTCACCGATGTACGTGTATATCCTACCGCTGGAAAATCTAAGACAACAAAAAAATTATTCCATTTCGGAGAGAACAAACAAACAAACAAACAAAAAAATTATTTTGCAGTAAACGAGAAAGAGAGAAAGAGAGAGAGAAACTCACGTACGTGCGTTTGCATTTAAATTTAAAACTTTTAAAAATTGTTTGTTTTGTTTGTTGTTCTTTTTGACGTCATGCAAGAGAGAAAGAAAAAAAATTGAAACTAATTTCAGATATGGAAATAATAAAAAAGGAAATTTTTTTTTTTCTCTCTCTCTCTCTCTCTCTCTTTTATTATTATTATTATTTACTATCGATTTTGTAATTAATTAATTAGGTTTGCTTTCGTTAAGAGAGTCCGTTTGTGCGTGCGAGTGTGCGTGTGCGTGTGTGTCGTCGATTTTATCAATCTATATATATAAGCACTTAAAAAGATAATTTATTGCCCGCGGAAATCTACATCCTTAATAATCTCTCCTTATCGAAAAGCTTTTTCTTCTTTTTTATTATTATTATTATTATTATTACTATTTTTTTTTTTCCTTTGAAGATTATATCGAATTTTTAACCCAAAAAAAATCTATTATCATTATTATTATTATTATTCATGCAATCGATTCTGTGTTCTTTGATTTAATTTAAAAACTACAAAACTTTTTTTTTTTAATTTAATTAAATTGTTTAAACAAATTATTATTATTATTATTATTATGTTATAAACGATTAAATTGAAAAAATTTTAATTTACATCATTATAAAGAAATAAATTAAATTTTCAAATACCAAATATTAATAATAATAATAATAATATTAATAATAAAGACAAATTGAAAATTAAATTAATGTTTAAATTATTATTACTCGTATCATTTATTATTATTATTATTATTATTATTATTTTAATAATGTTATAAAGAAAGCTTTAATCATTTTAAATTCAAGATAATAATAATAATAATAATAATTTTTTTTTGTTTTAACAAAAATAAATATCATTAAAAATCGATTGATATGATTGATATCAATTCGTTTGTCTGTTTGTCTGTTTAAAAATCCTTAAATAAAATTTGGCAAGCAACAACATATTAAGATAACTTAACACTTTTTTTTTGTTTAAACAAAATAATTTAAGGCATAATTAATACTAAATTAAAATGTTTCAGGTGTGAGAGTACTTAAAGGTGATAACAACAACTAGAGTAATAATTATGTGGAAAATTAATAACCGAAAAAAACCGAAAAGGAAAAGTTAAAAAAAAAACTTTTTTGTTTTTATTTCGACTCATTAGCTTTGATGACATTTTTCATAAAGTATAAATTATTATTATTATGTTTACGTCTCAAATTAATTTGGCCTCCAACTGAGATGACAAAGATGGTTAATCAAGTTCATACCATGGATTTAGGTTAAAAAACTTTCAAATAAATCCATAAAATTAATTTTCTTTTTTTTTTTTAAATAAAGTAATATTTATATATTATGAAATTATTATTTAATAATATATAATAAGTGTGTGGTTCATACAAAATTTAAATAAATAAATAATAATATTTTATTTTTATTTGAAAATGACATCACATTGATGATTCATTTTCAACTCAACTTATGGTTAAGAAATAAATAAAAAAATAATTTTTATCAAAGAGAAAGTAAAAATATATAAATTTTACATAAATGTGAGAATTATTAATAATGTTATAAACGGTGACAATGTAACATAGTAACAAAATAAAAAAAAATTTTTTTTTTTTTTAAAACAGTTTAATCGGTTATCTTAGACCCCACCCATAGCACTTTATTTAAAAAAAGAAAAAAAAATGGGGAGATGGAATAATGATCGGTAATAAAAATGATAAAAAACGTAAAAATTAAAAAAATTAAAATAATTCTTACCTTTTATGAAGATTTTGTATAAACTTTTCTGTTGTGATTTCGTCCAAAAGGACGAAATCCCCAACACCGATACCATCGTGTCCCGCCATGTTATGTTGTGTTTATAAGAATGCAACAACAGACTTGTTGAATTTTTTTTTTTTTTTTTTTTTTTTTTGACGTGGTTTTAGACTATAGGTAAATACTATTTACAATTTCCGATGATTAATCTAGAGAAAGGGAAATAATAAAAAACCTTGTAAATACTCATTATATATATTATGTCATCTCATTGGAATTAAATATTTTATTTAGTCACGTTACCCTTACCTTCGTGCAATATTTTTAATCTAGTCGACATTTTGATTCATTTAACAAAAAAAAAAAAAATTTTTATCGTTAAAAAAAAATTAAAAGTAAACAACAATTTTTGTTATCGTTTTTTAAATTGTTCGTTATGTTTCGTGGAAAAAAAATTAATGATTTAGTTAATAAATATTTGGTAGGTCGTTTACATACGTCCACTTCTTTAAAATTAACCAAGAATGAAGTAGAAGAAGTTAGTATTCCCGTTCCTTGGGGACATGTTGCGGGTATGAAAAAAAAAAAAAAAACAAATTATTATCTTACTTTTCTTTTTCTCATTGAAATTTTCATTCATTCTATATTTTTTTTAGGTAAGTGGTGGGGAGACAAAAATCAAATACCTGTATTAGCACTTCACGGCTGGCAAGACAATGCTAATACATTTGATAAATTAATTCCCCTTTTAAATTTACCATCTATATTAGCTATCGATTTACCTGGTCACGGATTGTCATCTCATTATCCAGCTGGGAAAACATATGAATTTCAAGAATATTTAATTTTGTTACACAGAATAATAAATTATTATAAATGGCCAAAAGTACCTCTTCTAGCACATTCTTTCAGTGGGGCTCTCACATTTAGTTATGCTTCAATTTTTCCAAATAGAGTCAAATGGTTAATTAATTTCGAATGTGCAAGATCCTTAATGACACTTCACAGATCAGATATCGGTTTATCATATTCAACAGCATTGAATGCTCTGGAAAAAATTGAAAAACAAAAAGAAAATATTACTATTCCAGCATATAAAATGTCAGACATGATTCAAATGACAGTCGAAGGAAGTTTGGGTGGCATTTTAAAACCTGAATCTGCTTTTCTTTTATTGGAAAGAGGAACAACGTTGGCAAAAGAACCATATACGAAAATAAATAAAACAAAATCATCATCGACAGACTTGCAAAGTTTAATCAATTTCGAAATGAATGCTTTTAAATATTTATCTAAAGAAGAAAGTGTTGAGATTAATGAATACTATGATAGACTTAAAAAAAAATTAGAAGTTGCTAAAAACAATTTGAAAAATTTCAATTTAAATGAATTTAATGATAATTATTATGTTTACTCTAGAGATCCGATAATTAAAATTCAACCCTTTCAAAGTATAAGCTCTGAATTTGTCATAGAGGCATCTAAAAATATTAAATGTCCGTCACTTTTTCTAAGAGCAACCGATGGTTTCTTACACGGAACGGCTAAACCCCTTTACGATCACACGTTAAAAATATTAAAAAATTCCGGGATTTATTTAGAACATCACGAAGTTAACACGTCACATCATGGACACTTAGACGATCCGGAAAATTTATCACCGATAATAAATAAATTCGTTGAAAAATTTCAACACGTTTAATAATAATTAGTTTAATACATTATTATTATTATTATTATTATCTATAATTCAAAACAAAACAATAAATCAATCGTTTATTGTGAGTATTTAAATACTCGTACTCAACTCTGTAATATTTAATATGTAATAAAGAACAATAATGTGTAACGGTCGATACGCCATGAAATTTTCACAATTCATTTTTTTTTGTCTATTTATAGGAGTCTGGAGTGGTCCTAAAGATCAAAGACCCATTTTATGCGTACACGGATGGCAAGACAATGGAAATTCATTCAAAACATTAATACCACATTTACCGGAAAATTATAGTTATTTGGCAATCGATTTACCAGGACACGGTCTATCCTCTCACATATACAAAGGACTTTTCTACAGGATAATGGAATACATAAGCGTTTTGAGAAGGATACAACATTTTTACAACTGGCCGAAAATATCACTCATTGGTCATTCATACGGTTCCGCCATGAGTTTTTTATTTTCCTCTCTGTTTCCCAAAGACGTTGATTTTTTCATAGCCATTGATTTATTAAAACCCACGTCTTGGAACAGTTCGAAAGATTTTAAAAACGCATCGAAAGACATAGAAAAAATGTTGAAAAACGACGTACTCTCAAACACAAAATCTCCCGTTTACGACAGAACGGAATTGATCGAAAGATACGTAAAAGGCTCTCATAAATCTCTGACGCGTAAAAGTGCAGAAATATTATTGGAAAGAGGTTCGAGAGAAGTAGACGAGGGTTTATACAGGTACACGAGAGATGTCAAACTCAAAACATTACTCAAACCTTATTTCAGTCAAAACGAATTGTTAAATTTATCGAAAAGAATCGAATGTAGCGTTTTATTTATAAAAGCCGAACAATCGCCATTTTTCGAAAGTAAAGAAAATGTCGAGTCCGTAATGGAAGTGCTACAAAAAAATGCAAAATTATTCGAATATCACGTACTACCCGGTACTCATCATTTACACATAAACACACCGGAAATCGTTGCTCCCGTTATTAATTCATTTTTAATTAAATCCGGTATTAATATCGAGTCATTTAAATTGTTACAAAATGACGTTGTTGAAAATGATTAATTTTTTTAAATAAATAAATAAATAAAATTTTTTATTTATTTATTAATTTATTTATGAAAAACCTATTGAAATGAATATACCTGAAACCTAATTCCCCTCCCCTCCCTCCCCCTAACCAAAAAAAAAAAAAAAAAAAAAAACAATCATTCGACCTAAACCTGATTTTGATTATGTGTATGTGTATATGATGATAATGATAATAATGATAATGTTAAGATAAAAGGATTTAAATTTAAAATATTTATAAAAAAAAAAAAAAAATTATTTTTTTCACGTTTTATATTTTTTTCACGTTAAGAAATGTTTGTATATAAGTATATATATACTTTGAGAGATCACACAAAAATTATTTATCTCGCTACATAATTTTTTTTTTTTTTTTTTTAAATTAATAACAAATAAAAAAAACGTCACGAGTAAATATTTAAAAAAAAATGAAATATTTCGAAGCGGATCTCCCGCGTTGTCGCGTTTTTTATTTTTACAACAGCCCCCCTCCCCTTTCCCCCCTCCTACCTCTTAAAACTCCCCCCCCTTTACCACCTTATTGATATCGTTATGAAATTAATAAATTCGTTTGTTGTTATTCATGATGATGAAAACGCCATTTTTTTTTTTTTTACAACAACGACAAACAATTGTTAACCCTCTCGAAGGGGAGAGGGGAAACGTGGGGGGAATCCCCGTGTAAACAATTGTTGACTGTGTCGCTGATAGGAAATAAAAAAAAAAAAAAAAAAATGAATGTGATTATAAGTCATCGATCGAATAACTTCTCTAACCGATTTCCTTTCGTTTTAAACTTCCTATCGGAGTGTGATTAAAAAAAAAAAAAACGATTCGATTAAACATTTCTCAACAGGATTTGTATTATTTAAACAAACGGGAGTGTGTTTGTGTGTGTGTGTTCGTGTGTGTTTGTTTCATTAACAACGCAGCACCACCCTCGAGAGAGAGATAGAGAGAGAGAGAGAGAGAGAGAGAAAAAAAAAAAAGAAAGACAAATTGAATATTATTTGTTCACGAAATTCCCAAAAAAAGAAAAACACAGCAACTAACAACTACATTTTTCTTTTTTTTTTTTTTTTTGTTTTTTTGTGTTTTTTGAAATCTTTTTATAGTAATAATTAAAATTTGGGTAAATATTTTAACCGGCACCTCTGTCGCTGTATTTTTTCGATCTGGAAGTACGGGGTGACATTCCCATTTTAAGAGATCTCATTGCCATGGCTCTGTTAAAATGCCTTTGAGTTTTCATGTCTGAAAAATCAGAGTCAAGATTACCATCAACTGATGACAATATCACAAGAAGCACGCCGAGGACCTGAAATAATCAATCACGTTTTTGTTTGAACCTGTACAACATTTCTTAAATAAAATTTTAAACATGGCGCCTAACAACAGAGAAATTTCAACATTCACTTTTGCGAGAAAACGAGTAGAAACTTTGCTTGCAAGCTCGACAAGAAACATTTTGACAATTCTATGACTGAATATTTTCAGAAAAATGATGAAACTTACCAAACAAATTATTATTAGCAATGTGTAAATGTGTAATGTTGTTTCAGGTATTGTTTCCATGTCTTTGAGTGCAGCAATGGCAGGCTCAAATTCAGGTTTGAGTTCCAACGAATGCCTTAAATGAATTGAAGCTTCCTGATAATGACCATATGCTTTAAATATTTCCCCAAGAGTATAATACTGTTGCCAGGCATTTTTGTCTGGAGGTTGCACTTCCAAAGACCGCCTTTTCAAAATATTTTAATTTCACATTTATTAATTACAACATTCACTAATAATAAGCTAATGATAATAAATTAGGTCGTAATGAGATGAAAATAGAAAGAAAAAAAAAAAAGAAATGATTTACCTTGTCAAATAAATAGCATCATCAAGGTATTGTAAGTTTAATAAAACCCTGGCTAAATTAAGAAGAACTTCTGCATTGTGAGGAGAAACTGCAAGAGCTCTTCGAAAACATTCAATAGACTTTTGAGCATCTCCTTTGATCCTCCAAAAATTACCAATTTGGTTGTAAAGTTGTACTGATTTTGGTTTCTAAAAAAAAAAAAAATAATAATAATAAAAAAATGAACTGAATGTTTTTTATAATCTTTTTAAAGTATCTTGCTTCTTATGTTTTGCTTGATTTAAAAAAAAAACTCTCAATTTCCTAAAATATCTAATTTAATAAATACCTCTCTTTTTGCTTTTTTCAATTTTCTTTCCAATGCATCCACATCTATTTCATAATTCTTTGATTTTTTTTTGAATATTAAAGCAACCTGGGGTTCAGGTACGTGAGGATGATTGTGCCTGTTGTTCACTCCGACTAAATTGTCATAATATGTAAAATTAACAGCTTTACCACAATCTAATACTTCTTCTTGATCATCATTATTAGATAGTGTTAAATTTTTCTTTTGTGATTTTGTAGAATTTCTTGGTAATTCAAATATTGTTTTATTATTTCTTAAATTTTGTGCTTCTGTTGAATTTAAAGGGCTGAAATGCAAAAAAAAAAAAAAACATTTTTTTAATTACATCTCTAGAGCAATTGAGAAAGAAAAGAAAATTGACCTAAATTTCATGTATAATATAAAATAATTTTTCAAACTGTTATCATTGAAGATTTAAAGATTTACTAAAGCTACTAGCTGAAAACTTGAATATTATAAAATAATAATAATAATAATAATTAATAAGAAAAAAAAATTGAAATAAAGAATAAAATTAATTTTTTTTAGTGCGACACATTTTTTTTTTTTTATTTTGAAGTTTCACAGGGCACGTAATTTTTCTTTTTTTTATAAATAAAATTAATTAAAATTAATAATAAAAATTAATAAAGAAATAATTAAAGTTTTTACATAAAATTGTGTTTAGATTGAGAAAGCATGCAACTAGTAACATTTAATACCTGTCACTAGCAGGGAAATGGGTCGAGTGACAACCGGAATTAAATGTTTCGACACTTCTTTTCGTCCAACTTTTACCATAATGAATGGTTGAAACAATTATATTGAACACTGGATCGTCTGTTGTAGGCAACGAAGGTAAAGTCACAACTTTCGAATGTGATTTACCTTCCACAATTTTACCCTCTTCAGAATTTAATTTCCAGTGTGTCGAAGTGCGAGAATTGACTTGAAGTATATGAAAAGTTAATATGTATAAAGCCATGTAAGTTAAACATGGCACATCTGTCATTTCTACTGTTTCAATTATTTAATATTGCATTTAATAATCACAATTTTATTTGAAAAAAACTTTTGTCAAAATTATATAAAAGTAAACATTGTATTTATTTTTATTTTTTTTTTTTTCATATAAGAGCGACGGCCATTTTAATAATTACTGCCAAACTAATTTTCAATCGAAAACATTGTGAGAACGACGATAAATTATGTTGGACGCACTGATAACTAATCTTAGTACACGTTGATACAAAAATGATTTACATTAGCCGGCATAGTTTTTTAATTATTTTTCCATTATTAATTTTAAGTAATTTAAACAATTATTTCGTTTCTTGCGGTGGTCCCACATTAGTTCTCCTTGATAATTTAAACATTAGAGAAACCCATTCAATTTTTTTCAAGTCTCTTCAAGGTTAGTATTTGAAGAAGTTAAAACAATGCATCATACAAATTAGTAAAATTAAAATAGTTTACCAAATTTAATATAAAAATTACTATAATTATAAAAATTTTAGATGCTTGTCAGTATTAGCGAAATAACTTTAATGTAAAATTATGTACCTGCTTTATAGTTATTAACTTTTATTTTACATTAGCCCCTTTATACACATTTGCCTTCATGTTTTATTTCACAGAGAGAGGCTTCACATTAACATATAAATCAGCAGATGATGCAAATTTAGTTCTTTTCAAGTATGGGGAAAGTCTTTATAAGCATTTAATTATATTTGCTCCATCTGTGGAAGAATTTGGTGGATCACTTTCTGTCGAATCGGTTTCTGAATTTATCGATAGGGGTGGAAATGTTCTTATCGCAGGTTATTATTATTATTATTATTAATATTTTTTCAATTTAAAGAGTGATTTCAAAATTTTTCCAAAAGATATAAAAAAATTTTAATGTGATGGAAATGTTTTAGGAAGCTCAAACAGTGGTGATGCTATTAGAGAGCTAGCATCTGAAGTTGGAGTCGAACTTGATGAAGATAAAGCTAGCGTGATTGATCACATTAATTATGATGTATCTGATCAAGGAAAACATACCTTAATAGTTGCTGATAAGAAAAATTTAATTAAAGCTCCCATTATTGTCGGAAATGATAATAAATATCCTTTGTTGTATCAAGGAACTGGAATTGTCGTTGACAAAGATAATCCTTTAGTTTTGCAAATTTTAACCGCTTCCGACACAGCATATTCATATTCAACTGAAAATCCAATTAAAGAAGTAAGTTTTTTTTTATTATAAATAGATAATCTATTATCATTCTGACCTTTGTCCATTACAATCCTGCCCTTCCATATTTTTTTTTACATTTAAAAATTATTAATTGTAGTATGTTAAGTGTATAAAATTAAACACTTATTTAATTTTTAAGTAAAGTTTCCAAGAAACGGTTTAACCATGTGCTATAAAACAAATCGTAAACCACACACCAATGATAATAAAACGATTACTTACAAATTAAAACAAAATCTTTGTTAAGCTAAAAAAAAAAAAAAAAATTAAAAACCATGGGTTGTGTGTATTGTTTAACAAATCAAAGTTCGTACCATAGTTGCCAGGTTGTCTAAATTTAATAACAATAAGAATAATTCGAAACACACACACACACAAAATTGTACTCTTAATGGTTTTATTATATGTATAATCTTCTTGTAATTTTCAGTATCCTCATGCGGTTGGTAAAAACACCGTACTTATAGCCGCTCTTCAAGCGAGAAACAATGCCAGAGTCATTGTGTCCGGATCCCTTTACTTCTTTTCCGACGAAGCGTTCGGTGCGACCGTTGAAAAAATACACACGGGTAAAAAATCACCGTCGGGTAATAAAAACGTTGCCGTCGCACTCAGTCAATGGGTTTTCAAAGAGCACGGCGTTTTAAGAGTCAAATCCGTATCGCACAGTTTGAAAAACGGCAAGAAAACTCCCAACTACACGGTCATGGACAAAATAATATACAAGATTGAAATAGAAACGCTCGAAGGGGAAACGTGGATTCCGTTCGAAACGAACGACATACAATTGGAATTCGTTCGAATCGATCCGTTCGTACGTCAATTTTTAATACACAAATCGAATGGAAAATACGAAGCCGAATTCACCGTTCCCGACGTGTACGGAGTCTATCAATTCAAAGTCGATTATAATAGAATCGGATACACGAGATTGTACAGCACGACGCAAGTGAGCGTGAGACCGTTGGAACACATACAATACGAAAGATTCATTCCGGGAGCTTATCCTTATTACATAAGCGCATTTAGCATGATGTTCGGCGTTTTCATTTTCAGTTTTGTATTTTTATATTATAAAGAAGAACCCGCGTCAACAAACAATATGAAAAAAAAGGGAGATTAAATATTAAATAATAATAATAAATCTATATTAAATAATTATTAAAAAATATAAATTTCAATTTGTTAAATATTCAAATTAACATTCGATAATTTTTTAATAATACAAAATTGAATATGAGCCAAACATCAAACCCCAATTTACTATTTATTAAAATAAGAAGAAAAAATGAGAGAGAGAGAGAGAAAGAAAGAAAAAAAATAAGAAGAAAATGTTTTTACTTAAAAATGCTAAAATACAAATATTTACTCATATGTATATTTTTCAAGGTTGAAGTCTTTCATAAACCCATCCGTTTATTCCTTGATGTAACATAACATTGTCGACAACATCATTTTTATTTTGTATTCGAAAACGAATTCTGTCGTGTATACGATCACTTTGTCCTTGCCAAAATTCTATACTGTGAGGTTTAACTATGAAACCACTCCTGAAAAACCAAAAAAAAAACAAACAAATTTGATAAATTAATTATTTAATTAAGGGAAGGAAAAAACACAAAAAAAAAAAAAAACAAACCATTCTTTAGGTTTTGGTATAAAATCTTGATCTGCATATTTTTTTTGAAATTCTAATTCTCTATTTTGTAAAATTTGTCTACTGGCAACAGGTTGACTTTGATTACTTAATGCAGAACCGATTTGACTGTCTTTTGGTCTCGAATGAAAATAAGCTGTCGCTTCTTCATCTGGTAATTTTTCAATAACTCCTTCGATTCTAACCTATCGTCATACCAAAGATAATTTATTCTTTTGAATTTTTCTAATTATTGAAATAAATAAATAAATAAATAACCTACAGATCTCCTCAATGGTTCCCAATAAAAAACCAAAGCAACTTTTGGATTTTCATTTATTTCCAAACCTTTTCTACTGCATGAATTTGTAAAAAATTTAAATCCTTCCGATCCGAATCCTTTAAGTAAAACAAATCTAGCCGATGGTTGTCCATTTCTATAAAACAAAATAAATTTCTATTCATGAAATGACATTTCTTCATAATAATAAATTTTACTTTTTTTTTTTTTTTCTAATATTATATTTTACTTTGCACAAGTAGCTAAACACATTGCATTCGGTTCTAATATTTCTGGCGTTGCTCGAGCTTCTTCGAACCAACTTTTAAATTGATCAAATGGTTCTTTAGACACTAAATTATCTTCTGTAAATGTATTTTCTCTATTTTTATACAACGCTCTCATACTTCCAATGTCAGTTGTTGAAGACATATTTTCTGTTATTAAAAAAATTCTACCTAATCCTTTCAATTGTATTCTATAACGTGAAAAAAATAACATATTAATATTTCAACCGAACTGTTACCATGTTTCTTTATAAACGTACGAATGTTAATTGAAAATTATCTCGTCACTTTCACCATTTTGGCAACAAGACGATTATATACATATATATATGAAAACGCTTTGTCAAATCAAACTGATAATAATAACGACCGCCCAAAACAATAAAAAACAAAACAAAATTACGTAAAACTGTCAAATATTTACAATAAAATAAATTAATAATAATAATAATAATAATAATAAAATTTAATTTAATCGTTAAGAGTTAAAAATTAATTGGTTGAAAAAAAAAAAAAAAGTTTTTAAAATAAAAATGACATAAATTACTGTTAGCATTATATTTATTATTAAAAAATAAATAAAATTATCAATAATACAAGAAGGAACGGTTTTTTCTTTCAAATTGAATTTTTTTATTAAGTAAGTTTTTGAATCCATTGCTCCAATTCTTTTATGTTATATTCTTTCTCATCATCGTTTATCAATGCAGAACATTCGGCAAAATCAACTTTCATGGGAGCCAAATGAGAAAATTCAAAATCAACTCCTTCCTTACCCAAATAATTATTATTCATATTTTTTCCAATCGATTCCAATTGATTTGATTTTGTCGTACGAACAATATTCCTGTCGATGGGGGGGGAAAGAAAAAAAACAAATTGGCATTAATGCAATTAACAAATTTTACTCGTAGAAAAACAAACATGACACAACCCACAATTCTTTTTCCAACATCATTTTAATAACTGTCGATCCTTTTGCCGTAGCTTCACCCTGTTTATTACATAGTATGAGTAATGGAGGCATGCAACTTGCAATGTATGAATCGATTAAACAACTGTATAAATATTCAGCGACATCTTTTATTTCTCTTTGAACTGTCGATGAATCAATGACAAAAACCAATGCTCTAACTTGAGTTTTAAATTGTTCAAAATATCTATTTCTAAGCCTTTCATGACCGGGAATATCTATGATATTAAAATCTGCCTGTTGTAATAACAAAAAAAAAAAATTATTCATTCATCGCTACAAAATTTCACAACAACAAACGACAAACGACAAACAACAAACAAACAACTACGTGACTTTACTCACTTTTCCCGTTGAATAAAAATTTAAATTTTCTTTTATCGACGTATGCGTTTGTATAAACTTATTAAAAACTAGTCGTGCAAATATTAAAGTTTTCCCAGATTCGCACAAACCGAATAACAGAATGCCATTTTTTTTAACTTTACTCTTTTTGTAGATGGAAAAACAAACTGAAAATGAAAAAATTCCCAAATTCAAATCAAATGAAATTCGTTCGGAATCCGAATTTAAATAATAATAATAATAACGATGACGGTTTAACGATTTTAGGTTAAATTCGCAGATGGATTTTTTTTCCCACACATTTTCATTTCGTTAATAATAATAATAACAATAATAATAACATACTTAAGAAAATAACTAATGCGACGATGGCAAATAAAAATCCTAACGTATTCGAATAATTCCATGTTGTACTATTATTATTATTATTATTCGTTGACGAAATCCTAACGTGGTCTTTGGAATCCATTATTGTAACTATTCAGGCTAATATTAAGTTGGCAAACCTGATCGAATGTTCGTTATTTATTCGTAACCCAATTTAAATTGTATTTTGTATTTTGAAAACAAACAACGCCCTCATTTTTCTTCTTTTTTTTTTTTTTTTTTTTTAAATAATAATAATAATAATTTAAAGAATTAAAATCGAGTCCGAAACGGATGAAAATTCCCATAATAATAATAATAATAGTGATATTGATCGATCGACAATAATAATAATAATAATAATAAAGGTAATGAATTCATGGTCACAATTCGTCTCCTGTGGTTCATGTTAACTTTTTTTTTTTTTTTATTCTCCATTATTTTGTATATAAATATTTACAGATAATCCTTCGAGAAAAAAAAAAAAAAAAAAAAGAATTCATTTCGTTTGTTCTATAAATAGTCTCAGTACGTTTTTCTTTCTTTTTTCTTCTTTTTAAATCTCATTTTCGTGACTTTGAATACATTTCCCAAAAAAAAAAAGGAAACAAAAAATTTTTTTTTCCTTTTTTTTCACACTTTTCAAAAATTGCAAAAAAACCTAAATTTACTTCATAGAACTCATTAATAATAATAATAATAATTTCATTAGAAAGGAAATATAAAAATTTAATAATCATCATATGTCGTCGTCAACAAACAACAACAAACAACAAAAATTCGTCACTCGTCGTAACGAATGGAATGGATGATGATGATGATGATGATGATGATGAACCTTTTTGATTTCGATTTTTTCCTCTTCTCTCTCAAACAAACAAAACAAACTTTCACAAATCAGGTTGTTGTAATTTAACATCCTTTGTGTTTGTTTCGTGTTTAAAAAAAAAAAAAAAAAATCATTTTCAACCCTTTTTTTTTTTCTGTCTTTCAAACAAAACATTTTTCCCCTTTTGAAAAAGCAAAAATGAATTTTAACTTTTATTTATTTTGTTAAAATTTTATCAATCAATATTAGGTACGGATGTCGTATAGAAAAAAAAAAAAAAAATCGCATGAGTTAAATATCGAATCGTCAAGAAACTATTATTATTATTATTATTATTACTATTATTATTATTAGAATTTCATTGATAAATACAAAAAAAAAAAAACGATCGATGATGAAAAACATTAATGAAGTTAACCCCTTTTTGACCTTTTATCGAAAAACCTTACGTCATTTACAACGATTCGTCACGTGACATTAATAAACATTACGTCACGACGACAACAACAACAACAAAACATTCGATAAAAATCCTATCGAAAATATAAAATCAATCAATCAATCTCGATCGAATTTTAAAAAAAATTCGATTAATCGAAACAAAAAACTCTAACCAATGACGTCACCAATTAAAAAAAAAATAATAATAATAATAATACGCGTGAGATTTTCCTTCATCATAGGATTCGAACACACACACACACGTCAGATTTTCACAGAAACGATAAAACAAACGGAGAGAATAATAATAATAATAATAACACCTGCTCGAAACACACACAATTAATTTTACCTATTAAGTTTATACACACAAACACGCATTCACGCGCACACACGCACACACAAATATATATAAACAAAAAAAATTTGGGTCAGTTTTCTCGACACCTTTCAATAGATAATAATCTGCGTTATAAATTAAAAAAAAAAAAAAAAAAAAAAACCCAAAGTTTAATTATTGGGTTCATCTTCACCTTCTTCTCCATCTTCTTCATCTTCTTCTATTTGGTTAGCATTTTTTTTTTTTTTTGTTTTATTCTTACCCCATGGAATTAATACGAGATGAAAATGAGAGAGAGAGAGAGATAGTAAATAATAATAATAATAGTTAATAAAAGAGGTAATAATTACCTAAACGGCAACCGGTGTAGAATTTCAATTTTCAAACATAATAAAAAAATATTTATTTTTCTTTTTTTGTTTTATTTTATTTTCGAAAGGTTGTTAAATGACTCCTCTCTTCTACCTCTCCTCCTACCGTTTACTCGTGTGTTTGCACGTGCACGTTTTATTACTTTTTATCCACGTAGAGTTTTTTAACCTCTTGCGAATATTATCTAAAAAACAAAACAAAACAAAAAAAATTTTTTTTTTTTTTTATAGCACGACCGTAAAAACTCAATACGAAACGTATTGATAATAATAATAATAATAATAATGATAATGATGATGATAATAATACCAAGTCCAATTAACGCCAATATTTATTATTATTATTATTATTATTATTATTATTTTGAATCTTTAAATGAAGGAGTAAGAGATGGTAGGTGTAAGTTGGTAGTGCGTTTAGGGGGGTAATGGGAGGTGTGGAAGGTGCAGGAGGAGGAGGTGGGGGGAAAGGGTTACACCGTAATAAAAATTAACAAACAAACAAACAAATGACGCAAACTCCCATTGATTATTCATTTTTTTTTTTATTTGTTACTCTCCCCGTATAGATTTTAATCTTTTCCCTTTTTTTTTGTTTTTTTTTTTTTTTTATATTTTTCTGATGTGTTCGAGTCAATAATTATTAAAAAATATATTATATATATATTTTTAAATATAATTTGGGTTTTTTGTTTTTGTTTTATTTAATAAGATGTATACTAATAATAGGTTTCGTGTTCGTCGGTTTAAATTTAAAAAATGGTAACTCTTTTAGCTTTTTAAAAGAAAAAAAATTATTAAGGGATAACAACAGATTTTAGCAGAAGACGATTTTGTATTTTTCTCATAATCATTCACATATGTAAATAAAATCGAATTTTTATTACTCTATGACAAAACTCACGAGATTACTCAAAGACGAATTGGCAAAAATCAAATAAGAGTTTTCCAAGGTTTTTCTGTGGAAACAAAACGAACGTCATAATTTTCACCTCATCGTCATTTGTTTTTTTTTTGGGGGGGGAGGGGGGGTTTCGTTTAACGATTTTAAATAAATATTAAATGAATGAAATTTTTTTGAAAAAAATACACACACACACACGCACGCGTGCACATAACAGGTTTTATAAAAAATCCATACGAATGGTTTTAAGCTGTAAAAAATGAGTGAAAAAGTGTTGGTTTTTTAACCTGAACCCTACAATTATTTGTTTTTATTAACCGACCATCCATCCATACATATATATCTACTTCATATCATCTTGTTTATTTTTTAAATTGCGCTTGTCCAGGTATCCGATCCAAAAAAAAAAAAAAAGGTATTTGCCCCGTTTTTTTTTTTTTTTTTAATTTTCTTCTTCTTCTTCATATAAAAAAAACAAACAAATTCTTTTATCGACGGACGCGTTTGCCGCCCCCCCCCCTTCCCCCCGCACAAACACACAAACGTACACAACCTTTTCGTCTTCTTGTTTTCAATTAATGATAATTTTCAACGAATCTAAATGGAAATAAAAAAAAAAAAAAAAAAAATTGAAACGTACGTGTGGTTTGTTTTCTCTATGATTTGATTCATTGAATGATGACAATAATAATAATAATAATAATAATAATAATAATAAATTTTCTTACAAAAAATAAATAAATAAATGAAAGAATGAAATCGATTGTTTATATGAATCAATAAAAGATTCAGGTGCGAATTCGAGAATTTTCTATCTCTCTCTCTCTCTCTCTCTCTCTCTCTCTCTCTCTCTCTTTTTTCTTATTTGTGTGCGTGTGTGTGTGTGTAATTCTTTCGTAAAAACGAAAAATTTTGATGGTATCGAATTCTAAATATTTTGTCAACTGCATCCTTATCTTATATACCTGAATACGTGGGTAAACACTTGTACCTCGTATTAGCACCCATAATAAATTGATCTCAATAGTATTAACGATGAGGACAAATAATACACGTATAAATATAAATATATATACATTAAACGAATTCCTCTTTTTTTTCTATCTCGAATTTATTTTCTCTTTTATTATTAAATATTTTCATTGCTACCAACAACAACAAAAAAAATAAAATCTTTTATTAAACATTTACAAAAAAAAAAAAAAATCGATTTCGAATCTCAGATAACTTCATTTATACACTTTTCTGTTTTCTGTTTTTTTAAAAAAAAAGTTTGAATGAATTTTACCTAAATAGTTTATTACTGATTTTTTTTACAACGTTGCATTTTGTACGAGTCACTTTAAAGAGAAAAAAGGAAAAAAAAAAAAGAAAATCGATTGATTAAATGTAAATAATATAAAATTAGTAATGAAAACGAAATAAAAAACGGCAACGATAAAAAAACAAAACTGTGTGAAACGTAATCGTTTGCAATGTTGCCAAGTTATGAAAAGGCCGCCAAATGATTATTCTATTACCACGACGTAAAGCAACCCATTTATTTATTATTAATTGTAAATGTTCGATTGTGTTTTACACTCTATGACTCGAATTCAAAACAAATGACATCGATTAACCGACATTCCCGGTGGTATTCTTTTCATTTAAAAAATTAAATCAAATACAAAATAAATTTAAATTTAAATTGAAATTGAAATTGAAATTTAAAAAGAAAATATTAAATTCCTGTTTGTTGTTTTTTTACGGAATTACGATTCGCAATGAAAAAATTTTATTTAACATTTACGACCTTTTAATAATGTATTTTTATCGTTTCATTTGATTTAATTTTATTATATTTTCGATATTTATTTCTTCATCCATATTTATTCGAATTGAATTTAATCACCCTTACATTAAAAACAGGATAAGAAAACAAATTTTGTAAATTTGAAAAAAGTTTTGTAATGGATTTCCCTATCCTACTACACCCCCCCTCCCCATCTCTTTTTTTGTAATCAGACTATCTCAACTTGAAAAAACAAGAATTTATGAACCAATAACAACAACAACAACAACAACCAAAATTTTCTTTTTTCTTTTTCTTTTTTGTCAATAAGAACATGACAATATCATTGAGTTAAATGCTAAACTAAATTTAGGTAGGAAAATAGGTTTTATACCTATTTTTTTTTTTTTTTTTTTTTCGGGGGGGAAGATTAAAACGGTTGGAATC